TGGTTTGCTCCCATCGAGGACCCCAGGGACTGGGCAGTGTGGGAGTTTTTGGAAGAACAGCATCTGTACTTATTGAACACCAGTGGCCTCCCTACATACTTTTTGACAACCAGGGAAAGCTGGGTTGATGTTTGCTTTGCCAGCAGCTCTCTCTTAGGCGACATTGACACTTGTTACACCATTGACCAGGTCACGGGGATGCCCACCATTACATCAGAGCAGAAATTGTACATACTATTCAGTCTGCTAATGTGACTGAGAAGAAGAGAACAAACTGGGAGCTTTATGAGGTCATTATTCAAGAAACTTGGAAACCAAGACCATTCATAGATCTCAAAACTAAGGACGACTTAAACATCCTTATAGAATAACTAAATGTTATCCTACATCGGGCATTCACGAGGGCAACCACCATTAAAGACCAAAATAGCAAAATCCCATGGTGGAATCTGGAGCTACAAAAAAGAGGCAGAATGTGAGGAAAAAGAAGAAAGCCTATCAGAAAACTTCAGATCCTATACAGAGGGAAACCCTTCACAAGGAGTATAGCGAAGCACAGAAAGAATATAAGAACCTCATCAATAACAGCAGAACCAATTCATGGAAGTTCTGTGAAACTAGTGGCAACAAAAATCCATGGAGTAAACCCTTTAAAGTGGTTTTTAAGAAGTATAAGCATTTCCAGGTACCAACCACAGTAAGAAAAAAGAATAGAAACTATACAAAGACAATTGAGGAGACTTAGAATTATCTACTATCTGAGCTCTCCCAACAGACCAGACGGAAACAGACAATCACTTCCACGTAACTGTGAGAGGAAGTGCCCACTTGCTCTGAAGACAGAAATGGATACCAACTTCAGTCCTAGCAAGATAGTTAAGCTTTTCCAATAAATTAACTGAAGGAAGGCCCCAGACCCGGATGGGATAATGGGCAATATGGCTAAGCACGCATTTAGGGCCATACTATCCTCTAAGGTTATCTATAATAAATGTCTAAAACTGCAATATTTCCCAAAAGCAAGGAAGCGTGCAGAAATAAAACACCTTACCTAAACCACAATCAGGGCACCCTTCAACAGCAAAGGATTATCACCCCATCTCATTGCTGCCAATACTAGGCAAAATACTGGATATCTTACTTTCGAAAAGGCTGGCTGGAATTTGGGATGGAAAAATTAAATTTTCTACATAACAACCAGCACGGCTTCCAGAAATAAAGGAGCTCCATAACCACTCTACAACAGCTGCTGGGGATCATCGACAATGCGAAAACCAATAACAAAGACACGCTGGCCGTGGCATTAGACTTTCAGGAAACCTTCAATGATGCATGGTGGCCAGCCATCCTCACAGCCCTGGAAGATGTAAATACCCCAGGAATATATATGGGCTTTATAGGAATTTCCTATCAGAAAGAAAAGCCAGTATTATGACTGGAACCAGCATCATCAGCAAAAACATAAACAGAGGGTGCCCACAAGGGTCAAGGTCCGAGCCCATCTTATGGGTGGCATTATACAACAATATCTTCAAACTGCAAGACACCCCTCTGAAATACCAAGATAAACATCCTTGGATTTGTGGACGACACACTAGTTCTCATTGCACACAAAAATCAAGTTCTGCAGGTTCAAATGAATAAACTTCTCAGCAAGATAAATTAATAGGCTAAAAAGAGAAACTAATTATTAATCCTGCCAAATGTTCCTGCATTATATATTTCCATGGCATCACCCTCCCAATAAAAGGCCTGCCATCAAACTTTCTGGCCAATGTATAAAATACAGCCCAGTCATTAAATACCTGGGAATAAACATTGATGAAATGTTAACCTGGAAACCACATGTCAATCACATCCACGACAAGGCCACCACCCTAGCTCACTCCCTCAGATGCATTTCCTGGAATACATGGGGGATCAACTCTAACTGCTATAGAGCCGGCAGTCATTTACGGAGCAGAGGTCTGGAAAAGGCAGCTACAAAGCAGAATATCAAGAGGAAACTTTTATCAATACAATGCATGAGCCTTATCCCCATAGCAAAGGTCTACTGGACAAGTCCTAGAAATGCTTTACAGATAATTTCAAACATACTGCCTCTAGACTTATGTGTCTTAAAAATTCACTGGAGACACTAACTCCTTGGACATCCAGCTGAAAGTTTGCAGACTTCCAATCACCATCTATTAATGAGCAACCTTATCAGGGACATTCAACAATATGGCCTTCACACAGTTCAGAGGAGCAACATTGTTCATCCAGCAAAGTCATGCCCAGAAATTAAGGAGAGTTGGGAAGACAGTAACAGTGGATACAAAATCTTCACTGACAGGTCAAAGTCAACAGACGGTATACATAGGATGTGCTGTGGTGGTGTATAACAAGTACAACAGGTCCATCTTCCAAGCTAATTACAAATTCAAAGAACAATGCTCAATTACATAAAAGACAACCCAAGGCTTTACAATAAGACAATATATTCAGTGATAGCAAAACAGCACTTGCTCAGATCAAGCAGTTACAAACAACACTGTCTATTGTTCAAGAAACCATCAACCTTCTCGAAACACTCCAAAGAAAAGAAGCGACAATTTCCTTTAACTGGGTTAAGGGGCATTCAGCAGTTAGCAAAAATGAGTGGTCAGACCTGTTGGCAAAAAGGGCCGTGAGGTTGGACACACTCATCTCATTAAGCACTCTTCCAACAAGTCTTATCAAGACCAGATTAAACAACACCATAATGCAACTATGGCAATGTTGGTGGGAATCAGAGGATGTGGGCCGACACACCTTCAAGTTTCTACAGTGTTATGGACAGACAGGCTAAGAACTTCTACCAGCCCAACTTTGCTACCTCACAATTTGTAACAGGTCATGGGAACTTTCAAACATACCTGAAATGATTTCATAACAAAGAAGACACAAAATGTCTCTGCTCCATGGATGAGGACCAAAAAACAGCATATAATTTTCTTGTGTCCAAAATATAAAGCAGAAAGAAGACTTCTAGCAAGCACCCTGGCTGATGTCGGCTTTCACTGGCCTTGCCAGATGAAAGATTTCTTTACCAATCATCGGACTCTACAGGCTTTTGAAACCTTCATCAGGGCGATAGATATCTTGAGGTCAATCAGATAATGGACCTTCCTAGCAACAAACTAGGTGTGTGACACCCTGGACTTGGCAGCAGTTGAAGACATCACTGGTGCATCAAGCCAGCCTGTCACCGCGTGCTGTGTTTTATCAGGTCTCACCCGTTATTTGCATGCGAAGCCCCATGGTCGACTGGCCGTTCCATCTTTTCTAAGTTTAAGGGACTTCCTGGATTGTCAGCACTTCCCGCCATGTCAGGGGATGGTGGTTGATTGGACATATGTGGTTTTCTGTCTTGTTCTCATCTCTAATTCAAGAGGGAACCTTGTCACTTTATTTGTACATGGGTTTTTTTTCTTTGTACCCTATGAGGTACAAAGTTTAGATTGGTGGTTTCCTTCTTGTTAGAGGAGGTTGTTCATGCATGTTTTGTTTTGGCCCCATGGCAAGCCAGCTGTTGGGGGGACTCTTCTCATGTACTGATTGTACTGTACAGTACATATGCAACCATTTTCTTTTGTTACCTCCTAAGCCATGGAGGCTTTGTCTGTTTTTTCCCTCATGGGGTTGTTCATATGCGTTTTGTGTGTTGAGCTCCAAGGCAAGTTAGCCATTATGAGGCTCCTACTGCCTCAAGTTGCAGAGGCAGTTATTCTGTATACAACTGTATTTTTGTAATTTGTATTCATTGGTATTAAATAAATGGCATTCTGAGATCTCATGTTTTACACTTTCCTATCATCCTTTTTCTTTTCTTCATTCTTCTCATTTCTGCTATAACCCTTCATATCTCCTTTTCCAAGGCTACACCTACTGGTGGAGGCCTTCCAATCCTTTGGTAAATGAAAATGAAAATGTCTCCTTGCAACTCCCCCACCCTCAAATTGCCCAGAACTTGAATTAGTTTATACAAACAGTTAAAACATGAACATTAGCTCCTTATCTACCCCCACCTGCTCTGCAAATTAAGGTGCATGTATGTCGATGTTATGTGATTTTTAATTTAATGTTTTAAGTTTTCTTATTCTTAAAGTTATATTATGTTTCAAATGGGTAATGCCGTTATCGTTTCAGTTTTAAAAATCCATTTGAAATCTGTTTGATTCTATTACTGCCTGAGGACGACATGCATTATTACATTGAAAGCACTTGCAGGAAAATAAAATGTTTCTTAACACCTTCCATGTGAATTTTTCTCAAGTTATTATATCTTCATTTATTATCATTCATTCTATATGCTCTGAATGACCTTATAGAACAAAAGGCTAGCTCAAGGCTATCTAAATACATTTTATGATTCCATCTCATACATAAAATTAGAAATTGAAAACAACTAGGAAAAACAAAAGATGAAACAAACAATTATTTATTGTTACATGATCACAATGCTAAGCTGAAATTTTTAATCATCTTTTTAATTTATTTAATTTAAAATATATGCTCTCAACCTCAAATTAGTAGTGGCTTGCCTCTGTATGTCATACTTTTCCTTTAACAATAGTCATACCAGTCATCTATCTAACACTTTTTGGGAGAAAATTTTTTAATTGAAATAATGTGACTTCTGATTTGCATTAGAAGTTCCTATATAGTTTATTGGGACCTCCTGCCCCTATGGTTTCTGTATCTGGTCTCGTCTTTCATCTATCTAACACCATTCTTGAAATTACAGAAAGACAGACAAATTGACAGAAAGATGGACGACAGTGGGAATTTATAGGTCTACAACTTTTTCAAATTGCAGCCCAATAACACCAAAACGGGCCATTAGGTCTATCCCTTGAATGATGACTACCCTTATTTACCATCCTAAAACACAGCACAAATTTTTCACAAGTTTCATAGGCAACCATTGAATAAAATAAATTATTCATAAAAACGTTACTATATTTCAAGAAACTCACCTGTAAAAGTAAGAGCAACCCCGAATACTATTATGACTAAAATGTTCGGCATTTTTTTCATTTCCAAAATCTTCAAGAGGATCTGACCATAAGAGATCACACATGGGACCAAATGCAGGTGGTTCTTTAAATCTGTCCAACTAATAATAATAATAATAAATGATATTTAAATAAAGATTACAAATTATTTACTCAAAGTTGAACACATTATTGGTATTACTACCAAAATTATAAATGAAGTATCATTAGTTAAAATTACAAAAAATTTAACCATAAAAATTCAATTTATTTTATATTTTAACTTGTTCAGATATAAAATATCTAGTTATAGTCTATCAAAGTAAAATTTTCTATTTATGAAAATTCTGTAGTTTAAATGTAAAGATAATGATAATTTATATTATAAAAAAGTCAAACAAGTATCAATATCTATAATAAAGACTATTTATCTTCTATTAAATTTATCTAAAAACCTGTTTTTTTAGGCATTCAAAACTTTCATTTGCTTTCAGATAAAATGAAACAGATTTAATTCTAATATATTTTATCTGTAAATTTCTTAATCCTCTATAAAGTTACATTTTAAATTTTTCATTAACATGAAAAATTTTCCTTCCATGACAGGCACAAACCAATAAACTTTAAGGACCAGTGGATTATATACAAATGCATGGAAATCTCGATATGAAATCTCATAACCCACAACCTTACACACAACTTTCATATAATGTTGTAGCACTTCTTGCTATTTTTTTTTGTTCTAATAATGTTAAGTAAAAGAACATTAAAAGCATTCAATATGAATGATCCATGATATACAGTACAGGAACTCCCCTACTTACAAACACTCAATTTACAAATCTACTTGTAAAAAGTAAAGACAGAGGTAAAAGAATTAATATTTAATTTGCAAACTTTCAGACTCAAACAATTTGACCATATGTCTAAAATTCAAATTTTGCATAAAATCTGAAGCTCTCTTGCTGATCATGATGTAGTGTTAAAGTCATTCTTCAACCAGTAATAAATAATAAATTTTTTATAAATAATTAATGTGAATTTTTTTCTATTGCATATTTTCGTTTTTTGTTTCTATGTGAATTCTTATGTTCCATCACCACTGGTGAGGTAACAATAAAGTTGTTAATGTTGGAATAACAGCATTTTTTGTTATTGTTTGCAATTTTAAAAAATTTTTACAATTAATGCTTCAAAAAAATGCATCAAAAACATAATAGTATATCCAGCAGGAGATAAATGCAAAAAGTCTATTACTGTTTAAACTAAACTTGACATTTTAAACCTATGTGCATTAGGTGAAAAAATGCAGGTTTAAAACACCCAATACAGTACTAAGCTGTAGAGAGTGAATAAACATAATGTATTCTAAAAGCATAATGTATTCTATTATGTATGTTAAAGGATCAAACACTAACAATGTGTGGTTATTGTGTACAAAATGTGCTTTAGTTGTTAGTTTTTGACTTTTCTCATAACATTTCGAGTGATGCCAAAACCTCTGGAACCTAACCATACCTTCACTTACCATCTTCACAGACAGCTCTGGCACTGATGAGCAAAAAGGCTGTAGCTTTGTCCAACTCAAGGTGATCAGTAAGCAGTATCATCTGAATCACTTGTGTTCTGTCTTCCAGGCAGAACTTTTTGCAATAACTCAAGCTATTAATTAAATGTGTAATGACACCTATACAGAGTATAACATCACAATCACCTCTGACAGTGCCTCTGCACTGAGTCTTATCAAAAGCAACAGCCTCCACCCTATGATTGTTGAGGTGCACAAGCAGTTACATGAATCTGAGAACTACTACTCATGAAAGTGGACTCAAGCTCATGCCAGAACCACTAGAAATTAGAGGGCAGATGCCCTCACCAAAAAAGTGGCTAGAAATGATTTCCTCCCTTTCTCCTATAACAGAATTCCTCTTAAGAAAGGGAAGAAATTATTATTCAAAGATCTTTTTACTGACTGGCAATATGAATGGGAGGAAGACAATCATATCACCACATACAGCTTCTTCCCAGATATTCAACAGCATATTCTCAACAATTGGCAAAAACGACCATTACGGCATACAATTTTATACAAAGCATGGCAACTTTAACGCATATGAACACAGGGTCTCCATTGGAAATTGTAACAACTGCCACTACTGTAATAAAATCGATTGAAGCTACCGTTACAACTTCAAATGCCCTATAACCAAGACTGAGTGATACAAACTTAAATTAACTATTATCAAGAATGGTGGTAGTTGGCCTTGTCAGCCTTGGGAACTTCTTAACATGCAAGAAATGTATGACCTCTTTCAAAGTCTTATTAAGAAATATTTCCAGGTTACAACCATCAGGTAGGAGCTTCTGCAACAAGATCAGTTGCCCTATTAACTCTTTGCAACTTTTTCATGTAAACCTTGTATATATTTTCTCCTTCATGTTTTCGCATATACCCATTGTAATCACACTAGCTGTTGTGACTACTACTCATGCCAAATGCTAGGCATGCTACATGTAAGACATGTACTTGATTGTAAATAGTTTTACTCTCTTAACTCTCTTTACTTCATGTTTGGTCTTATGTGAATTCCTGTGAATCATACAATTGGATGTGTTTTCTCTACCATGTACAAAATCTGTTGTTCTGTTACCTCTGGTCTTCACCTGATAATCCATAAGTGGGATCAGGCCATGTATGTTTAATACATTAATAAAGATATTGAGTTGAGTTGTGTACAGTTTGGTTTGTCTTCCCAAACAAGCATCAGCTCAAACTAATCCTGGATCTATACTTATTACTTTAAAAAATCTTTAGAATAATGATAAACTATTTAAGGAAATTCAAGCACATTTAAAAAATAGACACCTATGATTGCCGTAATCGTGGGTGTCTATTTGCTAAGCATCAGGTTTCAGTAGATGTTTATATCAAGAACATTTAGAATCACATTTACGAAATTTGCTTTGTAATTAAGGCTGTCCTATGAAGATCACAATGAGAGTGAACTACAGTGGGTGATCAGTTAATGAACATAATCTGTTACAAGACCATATTTGCTACCCGAAATGTTTGTAATCTGATTTATTGATTTACCATAATTTTTTTGGGAATTTAATTCGTTTTGAAGACCCCAAAAAGTAAAAAAATATATACTTTCTTACTATGTTTATTTATATGTAATAATAAAAATACATATATACATAGTCTTGCATTTTTATCAGTCGTGTTTTTTCTGTTTGTGGGGGTTAAAGTAATGTTGATTACTTTTCTCTCTTCTTCAGGATTTTTCAGAAGTAGGTAATTAATAGAATTGTTGTTGTAGAGATCCCCAAGCCTATTATCCAAAACCTGATTTGAATGCCATTCTAAAACCATTATTCTTACATCTTCTCACTTCTTCAAAAGATCTTTTAATGGCAAAAAACAGCATTGGTCCTCTTTCGTCTTCCTCTTTTTCAGAAGAAAACACACCTCACTGAGTTTCTTGGTGTTCTTCTGTCATCAAATCAGTTTAGGTTCCATTATGAGCTCTTCAATGTTCTTTATTTCTCAGATGTGATTTTCATTACTCCTTTAACTGCTTGAGTCGTCTTCTTGATTATATCTTCCTTAGCTAAGATTGAAGATTGTGCCAACTGTAGACCTGTTCGAGCAATACTGCCTTAGCAACATCAGATATCTTGTATCCACTATCTTGGCTATTATCTCTTGCTTGGTTTCTGTGGTGAGCACAGTTCTTGAAACTCCATGCTTTTTAGGCTCCATAATATTATCAGTTTCTTTTTTAAGCAAAAAGTTCAGAAAAGCACTTACAAAAATTTACAAAAATTAAACTCTCATTTTTTAAAAATAAAAACCAATGCAAAACTTAACAAGTGCCCAACTGACAGTCTTGCAAAGACTATAAAATTCTTTCTGTCAGAAAGGTAAATAAAAGGCTGGAATTACAAGTGAGAGTTTCAATGTTTGAAGGATTACTGTCTGATCAATATTGAGTTGAGCATCAATGTAGACATCTTCCACACTCCAAAAGGTTTTGAATTGTCACCTGGAGACAAGGGAAGATAAATCAGTATTCACTATTTTACATAACTACTTCCTGTGTGTGTTCTCTGAGGTGCTCTTTATCCGAAAATAAAAATATTTCACGAAAGTGTTCGTTGTCCAATTTGTTTGCAGTCTAAACTGTTCGTTAACCGATCACCCACTGTGTTAGATCATGATTATTGTGCAGAAAAAATATTTAAGTTTATCCTACATTATTTAGGTAGTTATATTGTTCACTTTTTATTGCCAGAACTTGGTTGTGATGAACACAAAAGCATCTTGACAACAAAACCTGAAAATGCTACAGCAGAAAAGTCATTTGTGTCCATTAGATATCATGAGCCGTGCTCCATCCAAAGTACTGTACATCAATTGACAAACCATAAGCTTTGTCAATTAATGTACTGGGCAGAAAAAGTATGTGAACACGTAACAAAATCAAACATAAATGTTATTTTGCAGTAATGAAAGTAATACTAAATCAGTTTTCTATTACATTATTGATAGGATTGACTTTTAACCAAGATAATTTAATGGCATCAATCTCCCTAACACACAAACTTTCCTGCAAAATTTCAGAAATTTTCAACAAAAGAACAAGAGGTATTAAGCTTCAAAGTGAATGAACAAAATCATTCCCCAGACACAGATAAAACCCCAAACTTTTTCATTTCTCAACTTTTCAAGGTCCCAAATCCCAAAATGTAAAAATCTGGGAGACCATTTTTTGACTAATTGCCATACTTTCCCTCTATTATATATAATAGCTGGGAAAGTAAAAAGTTTCACATCACTGAGATTTGACCTCACTACGCTCTTCTAATAATTGCAGTATCACTGGTGAGAACATTTGTTTCTAGCTGATTTTGGCAAGTACTGAAAATAGCTAGTCGAAAGACCAGGTGATCTATCATCTCTGACATAATATCGAATAAGCATATTTAAACTGTAAAACATTTTGTGACTTTAAAAAAATCCATATTAGTTAGACAATATTATAGCTTTAAGAGAACACTTAATAACCTAATATTGATATAATTTGTTTTCAAAATGTTTTGATATTTTCCAAACTCTTCACAATTATCTTTCACACTGCCAATTTGAGAGTATGTGTTAATGAAATAATCTAAAAATTAAAACAAAAAAGTGCAAAAAGTGATAAATAGCACAGTTTAAACTATATATATATATTTTTTTTCAATTATTATCTAATAATTTTGATTGTGTAACAAAAGAAGTTTTATTTCATTTCTGATTACATTTTTTCCAGTTCATATATAATTATATGTAATTTATTAAGGGATAATTTAATAAATTTATACTTTTGTAACAGATTACACTGTTGTCTATAATAAAGTGAATGCCAATGTTCTATTGATTTTTTGTTAATCTAAAGCTTTCTTTGATCCTTGCATCTGAATGGGTCATAGTTGCTGGCTCCACCAATTAAACTTTTTTCAACCAAAAGTAGGCCATAATATTGACAACAAAAATGAGATGCATATTTTTACAAGTTCTCCAAAATTCGTTGTACTGTACCCTTTTGGGAAAGGCAGAAGTTTCTCTCTAATTTAAAAACATAAATTTTAGCCCCTGTAAAGATTAGTAATTTTAGATGATACAATTTCATGACTTTTGTAAGTTTTATGAATGAACTATCATATTAAATTTATTAATTTAAATATATCTTAGGAAGACCGTAATGAAAAAAAATTGCAACCTTTTTAATGTCATCTAGAGTATGTATTTCAGGAGATAATCCACCATGTACACAAAGAAACTGTTGATTCATAAGTGCAGATAATGGGAGACAATCAAATGCTTCCATACATGCATCGTAAACACGTTCAGAGTACTTAATTTTACCTATAAAAACATTAAAACGTATTATTAATCTAATTATTAAAATAAAATAAATTATTAAATTATTTATAAAATATAACTACAGTACTATCTCAGTAATCTAGCTGTTCACTAGTTCAACAAGTCCAGTAATTTGACACTAGTCAACTCTTGGCAACATTGCCAGTAATACTGGAAATGTTGCAAAGTCATAGACAAACTTCTCACTAGTTCAAACTGCAGTTCCTACTAAATGTTACATATTAAGTCTGAACTTGGGCACAATATAAAAGAATATTAGCCTTGTCATCTTTGACTGCTCAGAAAAAGACAGTATCTTATAACAAATACTGCATAATGTCACACCTTTAAATGCAGTATAATCTTAATTATACTTTAATATTTTCAGTTGTTTTTACCAAAATGATCAAAAACATTAAAGTAAGAAAACAATCAACACACGAGAACCTTATTATATCCCAGTAACAATAAAAATTTTAATAAAACTAATGTTTTTGACCACATTTATGGTCTTCTTCAGGCTTTTGACCAGTGTAATTTGAATTTGGCATGCATCAAACAATATGTTTAAAATTATCTTAAAATTCCGAACATTTAAAACTAGAAAACAATCTTTTAGTTAGTCGAATGTGCTACAATAGCGATAAAAATATCTTTACACCGCAACAAATAAATAATAAGATATACATAATGGTGTAGCATAGGTATTTAATGTTGCTCTCATTTTTTCTCATAGCACCACCTCCATGTGTAAGAAACATTAGTGGCATCCTTTGCGTTAATACAGTTGCCAGCCAGTCCAGCTTTGCCATTCATAAGTAAGTAATACCTACAGTTAAAAAATTTTTTAATAACACTTACCCAAAAATGTTTAAATAAACTTTACTGAAAATAATTTCAACCATATGTAACTACCAACAAACCAGCATGAAGTAGATTCAATCAAACTAAAAACAAATATTTTCCTCCATTTTAATGGTTGTCTTCAGGTTTACACCACATAGAAATAACAGAATGCGTGTTTTGAAAAAAAACAAGAATTTAAAAGTTTTGAACGTCGTGAAATACGCACATTTCCAATGTCATATTTTACAAGGTTCTTCAAACTGGATAACAATTTTAAAAACTTTACTAAATATGAAGATTAATCTATAAAACCAAAACACAGTGACAGTCATAAATGCTAATGTTTGAAAGCAATGTCAATGACACCTGGTTGATAGGAAAGTTAGGACAAGGAAAAAAATATTTGCACTATTGGTTTTAATTAAAGTAAACCTGACGAAAATCACAAAATAATTTGAAAATTTCAATATTCTAATATCAGTGGATAAATTTGAGACAATATGCTTGCTTACTTGAATAAAAAAAATATTGGATAACAAAGTTTACATTTAAAAATTGTGAAATTTTGTACAAAGAATTTCTAAAACTGTAAAACTAAAAATGGATATAAACACTAACCAAAACCAGATGAATAGCAAATGAACACACACACTGCCATAAATAATCAGCCTATAATTTGGAAATACAGTAATAATTATGAATTATAAATGAATTTGTCACTAGAGGGAGGCATTAGGTGCCATCTTGTATTAAAATTAATTAATTAAATATTATAATAATGAATTTTAATACAAAATGGTGCCTAATGCCTCCCTCTAGTGCCAAATTCATTTATAATTCATAATTATTATTTCCAAATTACAGCCTGATTATTTATGGCTGTGTGTGTACGAAAATACCTGCATTAAAATCAGTGGTGTAGCGTAGTGGCAGCGGCACTTTTTAGTGGGTGGAAAAATTTCACAAAAAATAATAATAATATGTTGTAAAAATTTGAAACATTTCATTTCATATTTTCTTCGCCCCTACGATATGGACTGATTGAAATGAGTACAGAATAGTGTTACCATCCGGACAGTCCGAGAATCAACTCATCAGACTATTAATTTTTCCTGGCGATGTCATGCAGAACCTGTCAACCTTTTTTTTTTTTTATTTTTGCTTGTACGATTCATCCGTTTCATACACATCTCCAATATCCAATAGCGTTAAGTCATTTATGTTACTTACGTTACTCCCACCAAAGTCTCCCTAGTCACTAACTGTAACTGATTTAGAACCAGCATGCACTGCACATTCTTTGCATTGCAAAATGACATATGCATGCATCAGGAACTTCTGTTTGAACAAACCTCACTTGCTGTCCGGGTCAGCAATTTTAAAAAGATGGCAACACTAGCACGGAATTTTTCATTACTTATTCTGTGACGAAACTGAATTTTAGTCTTTTAAATTAAGATACCTAAATAAGGGAACAGCGAAATTTTCCTTTGCCCCAGGCGGCTGACACCCATGCTACGCCACTGATTAAAATATTATTGATGTAATGTGCATATGATAGAACGTTAGATAAAAATCTTTCAAGAGTCTGATGTTCTAGAAGTGAAATTACTAGAGAGATTGTGGCCAGAGTATTCATCTTTAAAATAAGGACATTGAATGTTGCCATTCTGTAAGCATAGACATTTGACAATGGCATTTGGAATGTCATTGGAATCATGCTCGACATTCCAAATGCCATTGTCAAACTTCTAGACTTACATAATGGCAGCGCTCAACATTTGACATTCACATTTTAGAGATGAAAACTTCGGCTATAACCTCTCTATTAACTCACAGATCACCAGAAAGCAGGTTTTCCATGGGTACCCAGCACTTCTGAATGTACTGTACAGTACATGTGATTGTTAAAAGAGAAAAAAGAGATAAAGCATAACATGTGTGTCAACTCCAGAATCTGCTGATGAAAACTATGTACCTTATGGGTAGCATGAAACAAAAACTTACATAATGCACAAAAACAAGGCTCAAGTTGAATCAAAGAATACATCGACACAAAGTTAACATTGACGGATAATGAGTACTTTCAGGTGCACATTATATGTCAATGCAATAGTTTCTAATTTTTGAAATATGCTCTAAGGCAGGGATGGTGAACCTATGACACATGTGCCCAAACTGACATTTAAGGAGAAATCATATGGCATGTAACCTATCATATGATTTTGATTTATCATGTCTTTTTCAATCATTCTATTGGTTTATTACCTAATTATCCTTTTTTCACTTAGCATATCTAAATTTATTCTAATTAAAGCAAATTTGTTTAACTTCTTTAAATTGTGAGATATGAAAGTGTTCCATAATAAAATTAGTTATCACTTCACGCCAACTTTATAATTATTGTGAAATCATTACATGTTGTGGCGTTACCACGGTGAATTATTAAAATATAAATATAAAATGATCACGAGTACTTTCGGTAACGTACAGCTACCATCTTCAGGTGAAATGAATACTAGAGTTTTCTGTATCATAGTTATAGCACTTCTTGAAAAAGCGGTGTGGCTAAATGGAACTACAATGTAAATAAAATTTTCTTGCAGTTCGAAAATGTTTCGGAATGGAATGGAAAATTATAAAAATTCACAAAGTATGGTTGCTATGCGACATGAAGCTCTAGCAATCTAATTTGTAACATTTAAATAAAGTAGTCCTTGTTTTAGAGATTTCCAGAGTTGTGGTATTCCATGGTGAAAGCATTGAAATATATAGGTTTTCCCAAATATAGACTTCTTTATGATTGTTGCATCTTTTCAATAGTTTTGTTTGGTTCCAAACCGGCCGGTAGTCTTGATCAAGGACTTTTCTCGCTAATTCCGTTGATGGCCGGTTATTATCTGACAGATGTCATCCTGATGTTCTGAGATGCGTGATGTTAGTGTTCTAGCAGTCGCTTCTATGTAATAAGTATCTTCTCCTGATCCATTAAGTTGTAATGGAATAAGATAAACTCCCGATTTCTCTTTCATATCGATGGGATCTCTGTCATTAGTTAGTAATCTTCTTAATGTTGGCTGTGTGGATAGC